GGCAGTCTCAACAATAAGACGATGTTTTCGTTATGCCACACCATTTTGTTGAGGTGTGCCAGTACACGAAGACTGGTGTATGGTACCATCAGAATCAAGTAACTGAGTGAAATCATTAGAGGTATATTCACCCCATAAGTCACACCTGAAGCACTTAATCACAACTGAATGTTGAGTTTTAACAAGAGCTCTAAAATTGTTGTAAATATCAAAGAAATCATATATGTGTTTCATAAGATAAACCCATGTATATCAAGTATAATCATATATAAAAGATACATAATAGGTTGACCCACCCTTTGTGGATATTGGTGCAGGACCCCACACATCAGAATGAATAATATAAAAAGGAGCAGTAGAACAAGACATACTTTTATTGAAGGGTAATGCAGAAAATTTTGCTAGTTTGCAACCACTACAATCAGAAATGTCACAAGAGTTTAAATGACCCAAAATACCACTACATGCTAAAAAATTCAATCGTGATACAGACACATGTCCCAAACCTGAACGCCAAAGATAAAACTCAGACGACAAAGGACTCAAACGAAAAGAAGATAAATCAATGCTGGAAGCAGCAACAACAGATACTTTGAGGATCTCCAAGACATATAGTTCCCCCACCCTACGACCAATCCTAATCACCTTCTGGATGTGTTGATCCTGTATAACACAGACAGAATCAGAATAGAACACCCAGTTACCAGACTTGCATAACTGACTGACTGAGGCAAGGTTCAAAGTAGGCCTGGCAATTGGTTTGGGTTCGGGTTGGCGGGTCACGGGTTGGCGGGTTTAAATTCAGAAACTCAACCCAACCCATATAATATATGGGTTGGCGGGTTGGAGGGTCACGGGTTGACGGGTTGGAAACATCAACCCAACCCAACCCATATAACCCGTATAAATACATGGGTTGGTGGGTTCACGTGTTAGTGGGTCGAACCCTACCCGTATAACCCATTTAATAGGCAACACATTTTAAGATGAAATTGAAAAATCCAAATAAAATGAAGTCTAAGAGTCATAAACATTAAACATAAATTCATAAACATCCAAAATAAACATTAAACATAAAGTCATAAACATCTAAATAAAACTCTAAAAATCAAAACATTCATGAAAAGTGCAATTGTTCAAACATAATGTAGAGTGTAGATTGTTACTTACCGTAGAGAGAAAGGAAGGTAGGTCAAAAACATCAAAGCCGACAAGAGTGAGTGCGAACAACGATGAGCGGATGAGGAGCGGGTGAGGATCGGCCCGATGAGTGATTAAATCGTGAGTTCATGATGTTGCTTCCTTCGAAGATCCGTCCTTAACTCCTTAATCTTTATCCTTCGTTCAATTGTTCGTGAATGTGGAGACTGGAGCGGGTGAGGAACGATTTTTTTTAATAGAGCATGCAAATACGTAATGGCTGGTTGCACAAGGACTCAACAGTCAACACTAAAGGAGTCAATGTCAAAGATGGATGACGGTATCATGAGACACAAGCCCAAGAGTAGCCCACAACACAACGCCACATTTACAAAACATATGGCTGATGATATACGAAATTACGAATGAATACCAAATTAAAATTTAAGGATATGATAAACAGAAACTAATAGTATAATACGATCTTAGATTGTTAAAAATTAAAATAAATAGATAATTAAATATATTAGGCGGGTTGGCGGGTTGACCCACGAACCCAAACAGATAACCCAACCCAACCCATTAAATAAATGGGTTGGCGGGTTGATGGGTTGGCAGGTTGGCGGGTCAGAAATCTCAACCCTAACCTACTTATTTTCGTGTCGAGTTCATGTTGGGTTACGGGTTGGGTCGAGAGTTGTCACCCCTAGTTCAAAGTAAGTTTGGGAATGTAATAAACATCAGGAAGAGTTATATGAGAAATGGAGACAGGCCCAACACCCTCAACTAGCATAGATGTATCACTAGCAGACTTAACAGAAATAGATGACACTTGCGACAAAGAAGTAAATGATGACAAATAAGGAGTCATATGATGGGTTGCACCAGAATCTAAAATCCACAAAGATGAGGGAATACCTAAAATGGAAGACGAAGAAGGACCAGAATGAGACATAGATGCAGACATGGCAGTGGGATTATAAGCCAAATACTGTCTAAAGCTCTCAAACACCTTGGGATCCAATGCAGATGGTGGCATATGTCCAACAGATTTTGTGTCAACTGGTGGAACAGCAGCAACAACAAACTGTGGAGGATGAGGGGTCCATGCAGGAGTACCAGAGGAACGTGACTGATACTTCTGTTGACTAGATCTATTTTGTTGCCCTGACTGAGGTTGACCATATTTACCCTTGTTGACTAACAATGGACACTGAGCTTTCCAATGATTCTTCTATTTGCAAAATGCATACTAATCATAAGTGACTCTTGAAGTTTGTTGAGATTGACTGGAGGAGACAGCAAGCACAACAGGAGCGGGAGTAGGAGTAGAGGTTGCTTTAAACCCTTTATCTGCATGGGACTTGATACGAGTCTCTTCTGCAATTAACTCATGGACAACTGAATCAACTGAAGGAAGAGGAGAGCGATGAAGAATTGTTCCACGAAGACCTTCAAAATCAGAATGCAAATCCATCAAGAACTGAACCAAGCATTGTTCTTCCCTCCTAGAAATGTAAGGCTTAAAATCTTTTAACTCTTTAGATTCAGTAAGAGCCAATTGATCCTAGAGATCAGACATAGCAGCATAGAAATCTTGAATGCTTTGGTCATTCTGTTAAAGGGCACGAATATCATATTCCAATTGGCATTGTTTAGCAAAATTGGACTGAGTATACAGTCTCTGTAAGTGATTCCAAACTTCCTTTGTTGTATCATACTTAGCCAACTGCATACCAATGGACTGAGTAACTGAGTTATTTATCCAAGTAATAATCTTGGAGTTATCAATCTCCCAAGTGATATAGCCCCACATATTCTTCCCACGAAGGAAGTTCTTCACAACGTAACTCCAATACGTATAATTCTTTCCATCCAAACGAGTATTGACTGACTGAAGGAAATCATCATTTCCACTCATGTTGTTAGTGAATGAATAACCACATTGACAATATAAGAATCTGAGAATGAAAGGAGTAACAAACCAGCGGAAGCAATCACTTGAATAATGAATCAACAACAATTATGAACCAACAGCAGCAACGAACTAACAGTATCAACGAACCAACAACAACAACGAATCAACAATAGCAACAAATCAACATATCAAAAAGAAAAGGACGAGTACCAGTGATAATGAACGAAAACAACATGCTACAGTAAATGCTACAAAGACTTCTAACAACGTATCAAACCTCCGCTCTTATACCATGAGAACATTGTCATATGATTATATCAAAGAGAAATTACAAGGGTTCTCAGAGAAGAGTGTGTAGACTACAAGGAATAAAGCGGATATAAAAACTAGCTAGACAAAAACTCTAATGGGCTAAAGACAAAAAAGATCCCATAAACAAGCGGGCTAATAATATATACTAACACTCCATACCTCCAAAAGATGCACAAAGGGAAGTAGATGTTGGATCCAAGGCCTTGAGTGAAACACCACAACCTCAAGGTTCTTCCTTTTTCTCCAAAATGGCACCAAAAGGCACTCCAAGCTTCACAAGGCACTCACACACTTTAGGGTTTCGAAATAAGGAAGGGGGTTGAAGCCAAGAGGGTGCATGAGGCCATAAAAATGCTTAAATAGGGTCCAAACCCTAAAAATTAGGGTTTGCACCATGGCTACATACGCCCATCGTACTAAGCGTACGCCTAGCATACTAAGACTACTGGACCAATTTTGCAAACAGTAATTCAAGGTTAAAAGAGAATACCTGCAAAATTAGATGTTACAACATGTGATGATTTTGTGACGGAGAACTTGAGTTGCTTCCTCCTGCATCTTGTCATAACCCAATGAACAAGTAAAAAAAAAACATGGATTTGAGATCAAATAGTTTGAAGGAGGGATTGAGTCGAGTACCCAGCTAAAAGTTTTGGATTCATTTGATCGATTCGATTTGGGTGTTCATCATATTTGGTTTAAAGAACATAAATGTTTTGGGGCTACAAGCAGGTATGGATTTGGTTGGAGAAGATGAATTGGGGGTGGCTTTGAGAGAGAGAGAGAGACCTTTTATTTATTTATTTATTATAAAATAGTTATAAAAAAAGAAGAAAAAATAAAAAATAAATATATTAAGGGTATTTTAGTCTTTTCAATTTGGGAATGGATCTTTTCCACATACATACATAATCAAAAGAACCACAATTCCAAAAAAGTTATAGTTTGGACAAAATTCTAAAAAAAAAAATGCATACCACAGGGACTATTTTTGCAGATTCGTTTATAAAATTTCTACTGTAGTGGAAATGACCAAGCGTAACGAATTTTGAAACCATAAAGATTATTGGCACAATTTTTTCAAAATCAGGACTAAACCTACGTAAAGGTGTAAACCATGGGATCCAAAAGTGTAATATTTTAAAATCACCGCTCAAAATTACAATGGTAAAAAATACATAAGTTTCTATTTTGATCCAAAATACCATATTTCATTTCTTAACTTCATTCTGTCATTTAGAAATGGTTTCAACTAAGGAAATTTCTTCCATTACACTTGCAAGTCAAAATCCAATATACATTTTGAGTTTGATTTGATTTGAATATCAGATTTTTCGTATCCAAACCAAAATCTGAACACCCCTATTTTGACCTATGTCCAAATAGCTAGCAAGAGAGATTCTTGACACATGCTTACTTGTCAATTCTCATCACCTTCCTATACATTCTTGATTCTTCAACACCCCCCACCCCCCACCACCTATTTCTCCCCTTATATCCTCTCACTTCACACTTTGTTTTTTTCTCAACCAAATACAACTTCTTTTCCCATACCCTTCTCCTCATTTCTCCCTTTCATCAAATTCCCACCTCAAGTTTCACTTTATATATTATAAATACATAGAAACAAATGGGGTTGAGTAGCAAACAAGTTTCTGGTGATCATATTGAGCTCAACTGGACTCAAAACATGCTAACATCAGACACCATACAGTCTTCATCAAACCCTCGTTCAACAACATTGAAAAGATCACTACCAACACAACAATCCGATCTTGTAAAGTGTCCACGATGTGATTCAACAAACACAAAGTTTTGTTACTACAATAACTACAACAAAACGCAGCCAAGACATTTTTGTAAAGCTTGCAAGAGGCATTGGACCAAAGGTGGCACTCTTCGTAATGTCCCCGTCGGTGGTGGCCGGAAAAACAAGCGGAGCAAACGACCTAACACCACCACAACTGCCGCCACAACCACTGTGGATCAAAGTTTAGGGTTTAATGGTCACAAATACATGTTCCCAGATGATAAAGGCTTGTTCTTTAAACCAAATGACAGCGAATTCGATCAAGTTTCTTGGGATTTTAATGGCGGATTCACCGGTTCCACCACCACTATGCAACCAACTCCGCGTCAAAGTTTAGGGTTTTCGATGCTGTCAAACATGTCGACCTCCATGGATACAACCTCTATTCCGATCATTCCAACTTCTTTTTCGCCATTGTTATCTGGTTTTAAAGACGATTCAACCCTCACCACATCAAGAATGATGGTGCAAAATTCTGCAACAGCTTCGCAGCCATGGATGCAGGCTCCAACCACCAGCAATTTCTTGGAATCAAATTACTGGAACTGGAATGACATTGATTCAATTGTTGATCAATCTGATCTTAACAAGCCCTTTGAAGATCCACAAGTTTAACAGTAAATGGAGGTGAGATTGAGATTAAAATTAACCAAATTAATTTAGACGATTTTGTTTCAGGGTTTTTTGTAAGTAATTAATGGGCCGGTGTGTGGATGTATAGTTGTATACTGTTCTTGAAGCTGTGGTTTCTTTTAGTATTGATCAGCTTCATTGGTTTAATTATGGGTTTATGTTGGTTAATTCAACAACTATATGAAATATTTTCTTTTACCATTGTAATCATTCATGTAACATATAATTTTTAAACAAACTACTATTTTGTATAAACTGTGAACATAATAGAGTATTTCCAATAAAAGATTTTTTTAGAGGTCAAATATTAGTAATCTAATTTTTTTTACCATTAGAATGAGTTGTTTTTTGATCAATAATATCAATCAATTTTTTTAGTTTCATGTTTCGTACAATCAAGTATTAACACATTTTGTTTAGTTTGCTCTTCTTTACTCCTCTTTTTATATTTAACTTTTAAAGAGTTATTTTTGATTTTTGATTTCAATTAATATTGAGTACTAAATTGATAATGGTCGTATGATATTTCTGTCGTTTTTTATTTTTAATATTGGTAATATATTGATATTATTTAATGTTAGTATTTTTAATTTTATAAATACTAAACATGCTCAAAAATAACAAATTAAATGAAAGAATTTATAGAAACAACAAGGCGCATCAAATATGATATGAGGCAAACAACTTATACGATAGCAACATCACCAAAAAGCAGCAAACCTCCATTATGAGGCAAAATCGATTCTTTGGTGTAGGAATGTCAATGAATTTTAAGAGACAACCACAGATAAGTTAATGGCATTTTGACAAAGTTAATCGAATACATAAGGTCGTGGAGATGTTACTACCAACATTTACATTATTTTGATAAAATGATATGAATGATTAGGTACATTAAAAATCAGAAAAATATGTAACATAAATTAATAAAATGATAAAAATATGTTATACTTTTTTTTATGATACATGAACTGATGAAAGAATATTATGTAAGTGGGGTTCCATGAGATAATTGTGATTACATTTGGAGTGATGTGCATGTGAAGAGACATCGGGGGTCTTGTTTACAGCTCAATGGTTTTGAGTTGATATATCTCAAGATAGAGAAAGAAAGATTCTTTTGGATTTTCCCATTTTTGTTTTCTTTTTTATTTATGGACTTTATGTAAAGTGTTCATGTCTATACGTTTATAGAGTATATAAACAGTGCAAAAAATTTATCTTCTGGAAGGGTATGCCCGACCTTCCACACATAATACATGAGCGTGATAGAAGCAAATATTTAAAATAAAATAAAAATGAACATTATTAAAGATACATATACATGATTAACAATCATATTCTTATGATAAATTGTGTATATCATTTATCCCGCTCGTTAACCCAAAACGATAGATATGGATTGGATCGAGACTAAACCTGTTCTAAATCATGTTTAATTTTTCAAACTAAATATATTATTGTTTTAGATCCTTATCTATTGACTTTTATGACACATTTTTAACTTTTAAGATTTCATTTATTGATTTTATAAAAAATTTGGCATTATTTAATTATCATAGCTCAGTGAAAACTTTAAATATTGATATCTTTGTTAACATTAAAATCAACAAAAACAAAAACATTCTCTACATAAAAAATGTATAAAAGATAACGCCTAAATAATACCAAGGAATATTGGTCGGATATTTTTGTCATTAGTAGTTCATGTGTACTTGTTGAGCAATGACCATTGTTTTATTGTTAATTTATAAAATGGTACAATTAGTGGTTGTCATGCATGAGTAGCACATTATTTTATTTTGAATTTTTATATGATTTTTGTTTTGAACAAATTGCACCTAAATAATGCTTTTAAATTCAAGATTTGTTTCAAAAAATACTAACCCTCAACTGACCAAAAAATATTTCTAACTTCTAATACCGTTAAGTCATATGCTCTTTGATGAACAAGTGATTAATTTTTAGAAAATAATAATTGATTTGTTGGTAAACGATTGCTTATTTGACAACTAAGCAATGGTTTTTTTTAAGTGTGTTCCTTAAAAACGATTGAAAGTACATTCCTTGTGATCGTATATTATTTCCGTTTCGAGAAGTTAAAATCCAAAAGTATATTTTCTTTGGATAAGTCGAGGTTTCAAAACCAGAAAAACAACATTCACATTTTCTTTTGTTTTCTTAACTTTAACGTGTCATGGTTTCGATGTTTAAACAAAAGTTTCCATGTTTTACATTATAAAGACATATAATAATTGAAATTATACCTTTGTGTATTTTTAAATATTGTTAATCTAAAGATTGATGACCCTAAGCATAATGGAATGATTAGAATTCGGTTAGCTAGCCCCCTTGATGGAATGATATGAACATGTGCACAACAAATATTCTCCACTGGATAAAGATGAAAGGCATGTGAATGGTTGAGCCCACAGATTTTTATTTTAAATAATCGAATCCTTGTTCTTAAGTTTGGTCAAATCTTTGAATATCATAAATCAAATAATTTCTTTAATTATAATATCTGATTTTCGTTGGATTAGTTATGTGATTAATATCAATCTCTTTCGATACAATGTGGGAAAACCCACGCCATCTAGATTACAAGATATGTATCGGTCAAAATATGTAACTATTTTGGTGGTGTATCATTATAGTTATATATTTAGGTCTTGTTGTTTTTAACATGTAAAAATTTGTAAAAAATAGCTGAATTAATTTTTTGCAATCTGTAAGAAAAAGATTGTTTTTTAACATTTGCAAACTGAAATGTAATAAATTGATTTTTTAAACTTTAATTAGTTTTCTAACACGGAAATTTAAATAATTCTAGTTTTGCAACAATGAATATAATTCATACAATAACAATAACATTTTTTTAAACATGCGTTCCATATAAATAATAGAAAAAATTACATAAATGATTCATGAGGTTTACCAAAAATCACAATTTTATTCTCTGTTAATTTTTTATATGAATGGTCATTGTGGTTTCTAAACTTGCATGAATAATCCATGTAGTTTCTAAAACTTCCACCAATGGTCTTGAGCTATATGGAATGACTTTTTTACCCTTTCTTAATTTATTTTATCTTTTTCTTAAAACAATTAGTCATTCTCTCCCTAATTAGAGAGAAAATGAGAGTAGAAGAGGAAAAGGTCCTCCTGTAGCGATTTTGTTAGATTTTAAAGATTAAAGAGTGATTTGGGAGGAGATTAGAGAAGGAGAAACTAGGACTGAAGTGTCGAGTATCATAGGGTATCTCATTACTATCTTCTCTATAATTTGAGCTAAGGTTTGGAGTAAAAACCAAATCCTAAATTCTAAGTTCTATCCTTGATTTGAGTATAATTTTATTCTAGAAACTTGCAGTAGAGCATCAATAAATCACTATTTCCACCTTGAAATAGTTGATGTCACCTCTAATGGTGTGATTGGGAATTCAGAGCCCTGACTTGATGAGAAGTTGTACTCTAGATTTTATAAGGTGTACATGATCTTAGTTTCATGAGTTTAAAGTCAAATATATCATTCTAGATTAATAAGATAGTATTTATATGTCTATGAATTGATTCTTATATGATTCTATTGGATCTTAAGAAATCTTGAGCTCAAATGACGATTCCAATGTGATACACCATTGGAATGGAATGCCATGATTTTATAAGTTAAGTTGATTCACATAAATTTTTTGATACAATCAAGTAATTCAATGGATGTAAACTATAAGTGTTTGGAAGGATTAAAAGGAACTAAGTGTTGATGTGAGTTTATAACTATTATAATTGGATCTAAATCTCTCTATTCCGTTGATGAGCTTAGAATCATGTAATGGAGGAAAGGTAAATAGCAAAAAAAAAAAACACTCGGTTTACACCAAAATTTTAATTTGACACTGTGTTTTTTTTGTTTCAAATTTGATAGTGTTTTCCAATTTGTTATAATTCTAACCACTTGACCGGTCAATCAGGTTACATTCTGACGTGTTAGTTTTGATGACGTGGTATCATGACATGATATGCTGACGTGTCAAAATTGAATTTTTTTTCCACAAAAAACACTAAGTTTTTACTTTTTTCGATTTTGACATTAAGTTTAATTTTTCTTTCAATTTTGACATTATGTTTTTTTGTTCCAAATCAAACATCATTTTTTCCAATTTTGTTCAATATTGACATTTTTTCTATTTGAAACCGTATAAATATTTTTTTAATACATCTAAACCGTATAAATATTTTTTTTCAATTAAAAACCATAGTTTTGTATAAACACAAGTTTTTTTTACATTAAAACCATAATTTTATATATAAATATGTATTAGTTATATAAAAACCGTATTTTATATTAAATACGCAACTTTAAAATGAGTTTGGAGGTTTGGAGACGTGTAACCGATCAAAACCCGGATGTCGAGTTTGCAACTCATGACATTCTGCTTTGAATAAAAAAAATACCTTGTATTTAAATAAAAATATGGTTTTTAAACGAAAAAAATATATTTATACAATTTAAAATGTAATAAAAAATATATTTATTCGGTTTCAAATGGAAAATTATCAAAATTAAACAAAATTCGATAAATAATGTTCGATTTGGAACAAAAAAACATAGTGTCAAAATTGAAAGAAAAAATTAAACTTAGTGTCAAAAATCGAAAAAAAATAAATGAAAACTTAGTGTTTTTTGTGGAAAAAATTCAATTTTGACACGTCAACATATCATGTTAGGATGTCACGTCATCAAAACTGACATGTCATCATGCTACATCAGCATGTAACCTGGTTGACCGGTCAAGTGGTCATAATTATAACAAATTGAAAAACACAATGTCAAATTTGAGACAAAAAAAACACAGTATCAAATTAGAATTTTTGTGTAAACAGAGTGTTTTTTTTGTTATTTACCCAATGAGGAATGGAATCATGGAATGAGAATATAATTGGGATTGAAATGATGTTCAAATCATGTTTGGATTGATCATAGATGATCAATTAGTGATGAGAAAATAAATTAGAAATATCTATGCGGTTATTTGAAAGAGAAAATGTAATAATATCTCTACATATTGGTCTCATGATCGATTTAGTCCCTATATATTTTTTTTATTCAATTAAGTCCCAAAAACCGGTAATCGTATTCAATTTAACCCCTTGACCCGGTCAACAAATCATCCAACTTTCGAAAATTACATTTTTGGCCCAGATTTCAAAATTTATTACAATTTGGTCCAAATTTTACACTTTTGGCTCAGATTTTAATTTTTTTTCAAATTTGATCCAAAATATATCCTTTTGGCCCATATTTTAGATTTTTGTTTTGAATTCATCCTAATTTTAGTTATTTTTACAACTTTTTTTCTTCAAAAAAATCGAATGTTTTTTCTTTATAAAATCATATTTATACAAAAAAAAATGTATACAAACACTTGTTTTATTACCTTAATATTATATTTTATACTAATTATTAGTGAAATCCAAAAATAATAGAAGATACAGACGAGTACAAGATGTAAATGTTTTGACTTTATTTGAATCGAAAAGTTGGAAAACATCTTTATGCTAAGTCGTAACAATATATGAAGTCTTTTTGTCACTTATGGGAAGAGAATAACACAGAATATATATGAGTAAAATAATGAGTAGTTACAAAAACCGAGTAGGTAAAAATAAAATGTTTGGTCAATGTTTTAAAATGTATTCATAATGTTGTTCTTTTAATGATGCATTTCATAATTTATTTGACATTTTCAAAAGATACTATTCTAACCCATCAAAGATCAAACATTATTCATGTAATAGTTACCAATGAAATCCCGATCAATAATCTTCACTTATCCACATCCAATATTCAATTAAATCGTCAAAGATCGATCTACATGACAACAAACATCCAATTTCTACGAATCGCACTTCCAATCGTTCATAGAAGAAGACTCAATCATGACAATAAATCAAGTCAAACAGATGTTTGAAAAAAATCAGTTTCATAACAACAATCCAGAGATCGATCAAATAAATAAGATTGTAAAAATCAAATGAGAAATATATTCAGAATAAGAAATCGATTGATTAGAAGAGACAAAATGATGATTCAAATTCAGAAATCAAACTAGCTTTCTTGATCTTCAAAATACAACCTACTGGACTTATGAAAAATCAAATCAATGAATACAATCTTTTGGACCAATTTTTTTTTTTTTTTTTTGTATAAAACAAGTGTGTTTGTATACTTTTTTTTGGTATAAATATGATTTTATAAAGAAAAAACATTCGAAATTTTTTTGAAGAAAAAAAGTTGTAAAAATAACTAAAATTAGGATGAATTCATAACAAGATTCTAAAATTTGGACATTTTGGGCCAAATTTGTAAAAATTAAATTAAATTTGGGCCAAAAGTGTAAATTTTATACCAAATTTATAATAAATTTTGAAATCTGGGCCAAAAATGTAATTTTCAAAAGTTGGATGACTTGTTGACCGGATCAAGGGGTTAAATTGAATACAATTACCGGTTTTTGGGACTTAATTGAATAAAAAAAATATATAGGAACTAAATCGATGATGATGTCAATATATAGGAACTTTATTGCAGTTTTCTCTATTTGAAAATGTATACCTTAATAGATAGTTGATATTTTAACAAGTGTTTCAAGGAACTTGTGAAGCATTATAATCCATTAAGTCTTAATTAAAATTTGATGTGATGGAATATCAAAGTCAGTTCAAAGACTTAGTTTATCCATGAGATCATTTAGAAGAGTTAAGGAGGTTTAGATGCATAAGGACTTAGTTTATCCATGAGATCATTTAGAAGAGTTAAGGAGGTTTAGATGCATAAGGACTAAAGTTGCTTCCATAGTTGGGCTAAACCGGAGTGGATCAAGCCCTTTGTTAGTAATCCTAATCGGGTTTACTCCAAAACAAAAATAATTCATATCTCATTAACCTTTTATCTGTTTGACCTCTAGTTGCTTCCATAATTTCTACATAAGCTTGAAACAAGTAAGAAATTTGTAAAAATAAGTTCATCACCTTTGGTAAGGTATTTAGTTAATTTTTTTATCACATAATGGTATTTTATAGGTGAGGATTAGAAGCCCCTTGTCCTTGGAAGAGTAAGGAAGCTTGGCATTTGCTTAATGTGAGGTTACATGGAGTACATGTCCTTATCTTGATTTGATACTTTGGATTTTTCATATGATATTACATGTTATATCCTTGTGTACAATGTGTATACTATATGTATTATTTTCATTCATGAAAATTGGTTTAGAGTTATCATTTTGTATTAAGAAAAGCCTATGCTTATTTTAAAAGAGTTTTGGAGCCTCCTAAATGTGCATTCACTTAGGATGGGATCGAGACCGAGAGACCTAAGTACCAAAATTTACTTGAGATCTTGACATGTTATGTGCTAGTTATTGATGAGCTCAATTAATTAACCATCTTTGAGTTTGAACTTATATAAATTGATTGGATTGTGGGATAGATGCATATGCATTATTGTTGTTTGTGGTAGAATTATCCTATTTTCAATAAAAGTTTGGGGAAAAATAAAGAATAAATCAACATAATAGATCTTTAATAAGGACAAGATGGGTCAATTGACCCACTGGGTCGATTTTTCAATTAATAATCTTGTAAAAGAAAGAACTAATAATACAAAGATGCTATAAGCCTATAATAAATTAACAAATAAAAGTAAGATGATATTTAGTGCATTTATAGAAATTAATGCGAACCAAATGAAATCAACAATCAGAAACAATGGATTTGATCCCAACAACAAAAACTTTTCCCTTTCGCATTCATGCTACTAGTCAACAGTTCAACTCAGCTCTTAATACAATCTTTTAGTTCTAAATTAATCAGTATACAATATGAATCTGTTGGCCATATTAATTACACCTCCAGATGGTGGCATGAGTGGATGCCTTTCCATATGAGGCTCTAAAGGAGCATAATTTTCCCTAAACCCACAAATTAAGCAGTGTCAAGTAAAAGATATAACAAAGCCAACTACTTAACCAAATAATGGTTTTACAGAAGTAAGGAATAAGAGCATAGACTAATTGCAATGAGAAAATGAAAAAGTAGAAAAGGAAAACATAATTAAGGACCTGATTAATTACCTGCTAAAAACTAATCCAGACATGGATTGTGAGACTTCACTACTTTGCTCAACATCAGTAACATCAAAACTGCACAACAATAAGATAGATAGATTTTATCGCTGCTAACTGAATTTCAGAATATGCAATATGGTATCTCTACATGAAACATACCTGGAATACATCCACATTCTCCAACTCCACCCAAAGCATTAACACCATAAGGCATTTTGCCACAATTGCATCACAAGTTTCTTAGGAAAACCTACACAATACCTTATAACATCTTCAAATACTATGCATCTTCATGTAAGAAATGAGTCCTTAAAGAAGAAACGTTAATATAGAAGCATCATAATCAATATTCGTTGTTAAAGGACTGTTGTTAACTTAGGAATTAGTACAACTTGTTATCAAAATCATAGATGGAAACAAAATGGGTAAAATCTTCCAGCATCAACGTCTGCTGCTTTTAGGAAAGCAATTAGGGCAACTGATCAAAACCCACCATAAATCAACAAAACAAGGAATATTCAATATACATTGCATGGTAACACTTAAGGAGTATGTACCCCGCCGTCACCGGGTCTAGATTAGGGGGTGCACTATTTGGTTTGTATAAATTACAAAGGATTCGGAAAGTAAATAAATGACCAAAATAGTATTTTATTCATTTTTTATAACTTATTTTTATTCTTAAAAATGACTACTGTCATTTACTACTCTTCTATAAATAGATTGATAAGTACATTAGAGTACTAGGGTTGGTTTTATCCTTAACGACATTTTGTTAAAAAAAAAAGTGTCAACTTAAAGTGTAATGTTCAATCTTAGAGTTGTAATTTCTCAATGTTTGTAATAAATTCAAAGAAACAGGGGAAAGCGAATAGCATGATGATAATCCATGTTCCTGAAAACTGTTTTGGATCATATAAATATAAAGTTCACTTCTCGAAATATGTATTTTGTTGGTATGTAATGGTTACTCAACTTTCAACGCAGGAATAAAATAATCCACAAGATGGCACAAAAACATGAAACGTACTATAAGGACGACAAAATAACAGTTACTGATGCTTAAGATGGTGAATTTAACATGTTGAGAAGGTGGCCTACGTAGACAAAGGTTACAAAGTCCATAATAAGACAAATCAGAAAGCAGCCCAGAAATATGCATATTTTGGGCAAGTCAAATTCAGGATATTATATGGTATGTGTATGGCTGTTTTTGATATAATGAAATCAGGTGAAGACTAAAATGAGAACCAAAAACTATTGAAAGTCTGACGATTAAAATATTAACATGTTAAGATATAAAAGACAGACAAGATGCTACATGTATCATTTACTGAATCGAATTTCACTTCTCCCGTACAAAGTAGAAAGACAAGACAAAAGAAGATGTTTTAGAAAGCAAATATAATAAAATAATGCAAACATACATACTCTCACACTAACCAACCTAAAACGAGTCGTTGATTGATGAAGAAACACACAAACAAAAGATAAAACCTAAATCTTTGGACTTTCAACTTGGGTATCAAGAAAAGAATTTACACATATTATCTCACCTCCATTTGAAAATTTAATACAACCCCAATATGTAGCAGTAGCACCTTTAAAACCCACCTGACCTGACCTTGACCTTGACCTGACTGCAAGTGGTTGCGTTGTATCATTGAATGCATGATACCCTAAAAACAAAATAGATTGGATCCGTTTAGTTTTTCTCAGATAGGAGGAGGGTCAATGGATCCACTTTTGAGCCTTTCCATTCGTGCTTGAAGCCCAGATAATGCCTTTTCGTCCATGGGAAGCACTCCACTATGAACCGGGGGAACAGGAGGAGGAGGAGGAGGAGGATTATTGGCTGTGGCTGTGGTACTACTAATACCTACCTCATCTGTGGCTGCTGCTGGATTACTAATATGACTAGACTGATGCTCCGAATTCAAACTCCCGTTTGTTTGTTGTATATGAGCTTCAGTTGTTGTCAACTGCATGTTCTTCATCCTTTCTCTTATTGCATCTATCCCACTACTCACTCCTACTGCATCAAATCAACTCAAGTTAAGTTGAGTTGTATATATTTAACAAATGAATTGAATGGCAGAGAGAGAGAGAGAGAGGGAAGGAAGGAACCTCCGGATTGGAATCTGTCAATATTGCGTTGGTCGTCTTCAGCATATGATGATGGGGGGAGGGTGAAATTTGTATTAACAACAACAGAAGATCTTCCCTCATTTAAAGTATTATTATGATTTGTATTTACAGGTGAAAGATGTCCTAATTTTGGAGATGAAAGATTTAAGGCAGATGGTGGTGGTGTTGGCATCATAGGAACACTGGAAGGAGTTCTTCCCCCGGCTGCTGCTGCATTCTTTTCCATCTGTAAAAGTTACATACATTCAATTCATTTACATAATACACACTGCTCTAATTCCCTCGTATCAAGTAAGGTTGTGGTTGCCATTAAAACAAATTACCTGGGCTAGACCTTCTCTGATATATGTCCGGAAAGCTTCACTTGCATTTTGAAGTTGAGAAAATATGTCAACCTGTCATGTGTCAACAACCATTAAACCACCTTAACAACCAAACCAACAAAACATTTGGATTTGAGAAAAACTAAAATGACCAGATCAAACCAAACCTGTGGGTACAATTGTGTTATACGGTATAGTTCGTATAGACCGATACTGCATGTTTGCTTGTCTCCAATTTTCTTGAATATTGCAGAAAGTTCTTGCTGCCATGCCATGCCAATACAAATATCAATTTATTTACAACAAAAATCTTTCTTACACAATTGTATTTTCATTTTACTTATCTTACAAAATTCTACTCTCCTAGTTCTACTTTGAAAAAACTTATTATGGCATTCTCCTTTGAAAAACATTCATTTGTGATAATTGAGACTAAAGTAAGTAGATCTAACAATGCGCGAAATTGTACAGAAGACGGGATGGAACTGACCTTCAATTGGGCATCTGCAGAATGCGTGGCAGGCATTGGATTATTGGCCATGGAATCACCCCAATGAGTTTGACCAACCGGGCCAGCAGGGGTCAACATTCTGGCAGCAGCCAATGTCTAACAATGTTCATAAAACAATTAATACATAATAAATACTAAGATGCTAGAAAATTATTATTAGAATAGGTACATACCTGAAGGTTAAGATCGATGTAGGCAAGGATTATGGGTTGGGGTTCCATGTCAATTGGCACCATGGAAAGATGACCTTTTATTGCTGTCCCACGAAGCTTTACAAGCTCATGAAGAACCGTTTTCACCATCCGCAAAGGCTTGTCATCCGCTCCCGCTCTATAATATTGATATTAATATTAATATTAATAACCCCCCCCCAATTAAATCAATCTGCTTTACTAATATATCAACATGCTGATTCACTCTCTCTCATTCTCTCTTTACCAATAAGAGCAACGTACTTATATCTTTTACACCATAGTAAAAACATAATTACATTCCTAGGTACATTGCTATTGTGTGTAAAAAAATGTAATTGTGGGTTGCTTGCTATTATGGGTTTGGATACAAGTAATATTGTCAAGTTGGTTTTGATTATGGAAAACAAAATGTAAGTGCATCAATATAGTAGGTAGTCGTAGGAGATAAACTACATTATCGTATAAACTGATGTAAGGAATAAAGTATTTATGTTTGATATTTTCAGGCTAAGCAATTTTCCTTTGAGATAGCATGCATATCATAGAGTAGATATAGTAAATAACAAACCTCCTCCTGATTTCCTCCATCCCAAGGTCTTGGAGATACACATGAATGCTTTGGAGGATGCGATCAAGGTCCACCTCATATATCGTATTTTGAAGAACCTGCATTGCATGCATCAATGTGAAGAGTAAGTAAAGATGGCAACCTGAGGTGTTGTGTTGTTTCTTTTTCACTTATGGACTTAATCCAGAAAGCAGTAAACAAGTAAGAAAAAGATGACCAACGGACCTTTGTAAGTTTGATCAAGCACTTGACAACCAACTCAGAGAACTTTGAATTTCTTGTAGCAAAAGATTCATTTGATGGTGGAGCTGGCCATCTAGAAGGGTCTAATGGTTTTAGGAGACTTATCAGCACCACAAATGACGATGTCCTCTCTGCATTATCCTGCATTTACACAACAAATTAGTACAAATGAAAATATAACTAGTAATTACAACCCAAATATCTCACCAATATCTTAAGCATTAAAACATTTAAGGCTTTCAGAAGTTGACTGCCATCATCCATCCTCGGAACCCTTTCGTCTAAAAGCCAAAGCAAAAGCTCTGTGATCAGATTGTCCAGTGTTCTCACATTCACAGCATGAGCAAGGCGTTTGTTTTGGAACGTCTGCAAAAAAAAAACTTAAGACACTCTACCTAAACTGTTGTTATCTATAAAGCCTATTGTTGTAAAAGAAAGAAAATACCTGCATGAGTGTGTTGAGAACGTATTTACAAGATCTAGAAGATGCACCCATCAAGCTGAAGTCAAAAGTCTTTGCCACCTTTATATATTCATATGCATACACAAGAAAAGAAGAACATGAGGTTCAAGTCTACTACAAAAAATCCAGTTATGAACATTTACCTTAGCTGCTAGGCAAGAAACGAGTTTGTCAGCATCTTTGACTAAATCATCCATTAAACTGCCCTCAGGGTCATTGCTTGCAGCTGCCAACTCATGGCACACAACTTTCATGCCTTCAACAGACTGCAAATCAACATTTTATAAATTTTAATATGTATATCACAAAAACTATAGAAATGTAAAGAAAACAGATTAAAACCTGCTCAGGGGAGCCATATGTAATGATATCTAGAGCTTCATTCCAGTCTGTAGGGCCAATTACACCCCCAGATGGACGCGAAAGTGGATGTCTTTCCATTTGAGGTTCTTGAGGAGCATACATTTCCCTAAACCCCACAAATTAAGCACCTCAGGAAAAATATGAAGTAATAACAGAACAGGAAAATTTTTAAAAATAAATCAAAACACAAGGACAACACTACCTGCTAAAAACTGGTCCAGACATGGATCGTGTGACTTCACCACTTTGCTCAGCAACATCAGAACTGCACAACAAAATATATATATAAAAGCAATAAAAATGGTGACTTATGTTGGTGTTAAAAAAAGTGGATGTTTACCCATTTTCCCTAACAGAACGCCTTAAAGCAGCTCTTGTTTCACCTGGCTTCCCCTCCTTTCTTTTCTCCATTTCTCGAAACTATAAAAAAAAAAAAAGGGAATTAATAACGACATATATATATAAATTACTCCTATTCCCCAAATAGTCTTTTTTTTGTACCTTCCACTTAAATTTTTCATCTAGCATGCTCCTTTGGGCTTCATTCACCTTCCCAACGTATTTCCAGATATCATCACCTTATATTAAAATTTCAATCAGATTCAACATTTCCAACAAAAAAAAAATACTATTATTCATTTCTACATATTTCTATTCCTTAAGGAAGCTTAAACATACCAAGAATCTTATAACCAGAAGCAAAACAATTTAATGCAGCCTTTCTAAGTTCACCATCTCGTTCTGCTGTTAAACTTGCAACAATTTGCAGGTTTTTCAGCTGTCCACTTATCTGCACCACAATGATGAAAAGCATGAGCAACCTTCAGCTATAAGCCTATAAGGTGTGACACATTAACTGAAGGGACTATCATATGTACCTCGGTGTAATGATTATCAAGCAAAAAACCAACAAGATCAGTACACTCGATTTTTGTCCTGTTGTTTCTAGAGCGCAGACCTTCCAAAATATATGGGAAAGTTTTAGCAGCCGAATAACTTTGTATGATCTGCTTCATTAGTTCCCGCAATTTTTCTCTTAGTTTCTCAATATTATGACCAGTCTGCATGCACCAAAGTATAGTTAGTACATAAGTTCTCTATGTACATGATACATCCGTATAGTTTAAGCACATCTAGGGTCAGTATTAACCTTCTCAACCAAGCAAGGAAGAAAGATGGAAGCTTCAGCTTCATTCATGCTGTAGTTTTCATTTCTCAATGTGTCAAATAGCTCCGGGAGGAATTCCAAAACCTATAACCATATTTCAAATATATATATATATATATATATATATATATATATATATATATATATATATATATATATATACCCATAAGTTTACTACATAATAAACCAACCAAACTTTAATTAAAAAAAACAATGCAATTGATTAAAAAAAAAAAGTTCACCTTGAGTAGGCAAGATGTGTTGGATTCGCAGAATCGCAAAACAAACCACTTCAACAGTATATCTAGTACTTCAATAATTTCCTTGGCAATTGATGGAAGTGCCTGAATAAGTTCGATGAGTAAAATCAAAAAGTGGGCCCACATAGTCAGTTTTAACTAAGAAAAGAAAATAAAAAAGGAATGGAAAACATACCTTCTGAAGCATCTCGATTCCATCAACCTGTTTTTTGAAGTCTGTGCTCAAAAGCCGCCTGTGCAAATCCTCCCTGAAGTACTTCATCAGATCATTCTGTTTCAAGAAATTTAGTTACTTTTTTGAGAATCTCAACAACAGCCAAAACAATGTCATTATATAGATATTAAATCAGCAACCTCAAGATCCTGAATCTGCTCCAATCGCAACTCTTCAAATTTAAACCTACGAACCACAATTCTCTCTCTTTCATCCTGCAAGTAGATTATATATTATTATTATTATTATTATAACTAAAGTATGTTTGATCCTTCTTAAATTGTCAAATGGCATAGAATCTGTATCCAAATACCTTATTAGAGTCTTTGACATTTAGCAATGCTTGTGATTGTATGTTAATATCTTGAACAGACATTATAGGCTCTGGTTTTGAGCCCTTTGCTGCTACCCCTCTCTTAAAAACAGAATTAAAACAATAAATCTGATATCTATTTTTATAAATCAGAATGAATAAAGTATAAAAGCTATATATATCATACCGAAGATACAGCTCTGCTTCCTGGTTTTGATCCATAACCATTAGACTTTCCAACCTTTGTTTTTGCTGCTTGCCAAGATGGGGCTGTTGTTTTTACGCTCTCATGTACATCTGAATGTGGATAATATACATAAGTCCATGTTCATCAACCTCAAGAAGAATGAAATCATAAGGTAAGGTTAAATGCAAGAAATAGCAACATGCTTTTATTTATTTGTGTAGTAACTAGTATAGCATCCTAGTTTCATTTTCTTTATTAAAGTATTATTATACTTTTACATTTTCCATTTTTGTACTTTGAAAAATCTACCCAATTATAGCATTTTTCTTATTAGGAAATTAGACTTTGAAAAATCCACCAAAATATAAAAGTAGGTTGCTATTTCTTGCATTTGACCCATTCAATCCAAAAACTATCTATAAAGTCAGACCTGCAACTGCACCATGTGACTTCATTCGTTCAAGAACAATTGCCAAAGCAGGCCCTTGAATATCTCTTACATTCTTCATGACCTAAATAAAGTGAATATAAACAAAAAAAAAAAAAAAAACATCATCAGTTCAGATTTCATAAATGGTAAAAGGAAAACAAAAAAGATGAAAACATAAAGTCTACACACCATTTCTGGTCCACAGACTCTCACGATCTCTCCAAAGAAGGTTTCTGCTGCTTTTCGAACATCTACCGACTTATCCTGATGACAAACATAAAATACATAAATAATCATGTTTAAATATAATTATATATATATATATATATATATATCAACAATTGAATATTTTTATCTGTTAAAAATTAAATACCGTCATAGCAGCAGCAACCGGTCTGAGCAATTGAATGGCATCAGGGAACTCTGCTATTCCAGTAAGTTGTCTAGACAACCAATCAAAAAGGTCCTTGCGTCCTTCCGCACCAAGTTTAGCATCAGTCAAAGATGTAGTAATATATGGTACCTAAAAGCCAAGATAATACCATAAATGTCAAGTAATGAGGAATACCAACATGGACAATGTGCTTCAGTTTTCTTTTTACTCAAAACAACAACGTACAAGGGTGTAGAGAAGTTTAATTACGTTGAAGAAATGCAGGCTGGTTTATTATGAGTTTACACATTATTATTATTATTGGTAAAAGAATATGGAATAGCAATGCTATAATTGTAAAGAAACTCACTAACCATCTTATCAAGGTGAGTAGCAGCAACCCAAGAATCCAAAGCTGCCAAGGCAGATTCTCTCATGTGCTTTTTGTTGTCACCAAGACATTTTAGAACATCCGATAAAATTCCCTGCAAGGCATATTAAAATTAGTTGCTTTTAAAGAAACCAGGCATATACTTACAAACTTAAGCATAGATGGAAGGTATATTAAATTTAAATGGACCTTGCTTGACTTCTCAACTGCAGCTCCCATAGCAGATGCAAGACCACTTATACAGGTCAAAGTGGTAATGATTAAATTCTTGTTGCTGTCATATAACCGAGCTCTAAGAGCCCCAAACAATTCCACTGAAATAACAACACAGCACAGTGAAAAACAGCTTCCATCTACTTTTAACTAATCAATGCAAATTATTACCAGTTCCAGTAGGCTGAATACGCTTGTTGGCTTCTTCCACAATTTTATTTACAGCTTCAATAGATTCCAAACGCATCTGGACAGATTCAACAGCAGTGTTAACATGATTCAAGTCAACTGGATGTTTCATGCTTCATCATTTAATAAAGGGTTAAATGCAACAAGTATCAGCATACTTCCATGAATTTGTTTACTAATAAAAAGTACTTTGCCCTAATAAAAAGAAAATCAAAAGTACGACACAAGTGAAGAGGACAAGTTTTATAAAAAAAAAAAAACAATGCCTTTTTAAGAAAATGATTAACCATACAATACTGCAATGGAAAGAAATGAAAGTGGGATGCTATAACACACAAATAAATGTAAGTAGATTGTAATTTCTTGTATTTAGTCCTTAAATAAATTATAAATAAAAACGTCACCTTCCAATCAGAACTCTCCAATCCTTTCAAAAGAGCTGGTGTTATCTTTGCACTAATGTCCTCACGTGGCAAGCCATCCAACCCACCACCAGACCCAGATGGTGCACAATCTGATACCTTGACAGTCTTCTTTGCTGCAGCAGCCCCCTGAAGGAAATCATAATTAAATACCTAACATTTTATTTTTATTTTTAAAAAAAAATAGAAACAATCAGGGTCTAGAAAGGTCAAACAGTCAAACCTCAAAGGGATTTTTTTCGCATTCTGCCTCTACTGCACTAAGAAGGGCGGGCTTGACATCTGACAAGAATGCTTTGATATCAGGGCCAACAAATTTGTGTAATGCACCAATAAGCTTAATGGTGGCATTTCTAGTAGCAGCTGCACTTGATTGTAAACCCGTATCTTTGCAAAAATCAATTAAATCTTTTAATTTAAGATGTGTAACACCAAAGTCTTCAACTGCAGACACCATCCACAACAGACCCTCACTAAGAACCTTAGGGTTCTTGTGCTCTTTCATTATCTTGAACATCTACAGAAATTAAACAGATTTTATGTCAGATTATTGAACTGGGAGAACATACAATTTGATACACTTACTTACCCTTTCAAAGATAAAACCTGGGCCCACCGCCTCAGAGAAAGTGGTTAGACATTTCATGGCTTGAACTCGAGTCTTAATATCAGCCACTCTTTCACAAATTCCTGTGTGACCGTGTAAAGGTAAAACTTCAGATGTCAAACAAATTCATAAAGCCATCATTTTTTTTATGAAATCTGTCATCCATTTACCTGATATGCAAAGTACAACACATTTTTTTGGGAACTTTGATGCTGTAGAAGCTATATGGGTGACAATTTCAATGACCTGTTGCTGGACCTGCAATTTACAATAGAAAAACAACATTTGATAAATTTGATCAGATCAAAAAAAACCACAAGGTGTGTCATTTCATGTTCTTAAATCTTATGAAGGTATAAGTAGTACCTGCACATTTTTCTCATTCCAACCAGGAACAGTACAGACTAGCCGGGTTAAAATCTCAACTGACTGGTCAAGTTCCTGTAGTGCTTGAATGTCTTCTTTTAATTTTGTAATTTCTGCAGAAAAAAAAAAAAAAAAAATGCTACTTTCATTATTTGGATGACATTGCTATAATTGGGCAGATTTTTTAAGTACAACCTGTAATAGGAAGAAATGAAAGTAGGAACGTGACAATAAACAAATCAATGAAAGTACATGCTATTTATCACATCCTTGTTTTCTTATTTATCAATTATCACAATTACAAAAATGTGATACCTTCAAGTCGCTCTTTCCATGCAGTACTCTTCAACTTAGCAGTGTCTACTTGAATGAGAGACCCTATTCTGCTTTCTATCTCTTCAAGGGTCATCTCAGATGGCTGCAGCAAGCAACATGGTATTTACTATTTAATTAAGACAAAGACATGATGGTTGTATACAACTATACATATAAATGTATATAACTCACCTCAACATCTTCAGGTTCAGCAGCTTTTTTGGTTTGAGCAGGTCCATCTGCCTTCTTGCCACCACCCGTCTTTGCAGAAGCCACCTTTTTAGCAGCAGGCTTAAAAGCAAAAAAAATAAATAAATAAATAATATCAATACTGAGAAAGCGAATAAATATTTCCAAGTGACAGAATATATAGATGAGACTCACAGCAGCTGCAACGGGTTTCTTCCCACTAAGCATACTTGCTGCTGACCTTCTAACAAAGCCACCATCAGAAGCCTGCAAGTAAAAAAATATATAGCATGTAATTTTGAGCATATTAGTATATTACTAATATATTGCACATAAAGATTAAAGAAATGACATAATATAGTGATATACACACCTCCACAGATGATGCAGTTCCACCTGATGATGGGATAGCTGCAAAAAAAAGGAAGGGAGACTCTAAAAAAGAACATAAAAGAATCTAGTTATAAATAAAATTCAAAAATAAGCAATTTAAAAACCTGAGCCTCCTGTGGTTGAAGCACCACCTCCAGAAATGCCAATCATTTCTGAAAGCTTCTTTCGCCTGACATCATCAAGTTTCTCCAATGACTTCTCCAAAGGCCTCATGCCAACCATCTAGAAAGAGGAAACAGATAAGTGATATTTTATTATTATTTGCACCAACAGTAAAAAGAAGTATTTTCAGTAGTGAAAAAAGAATGGATGGTATTAATGTATTATACCTTTGCTATAGCTGCCAAAACTGAAAATGCAGCATCCCTCACGTCAGGTGTCCCGTCATTCAGACACTACAAACCCAAACAAGTTTCAGTAAAGAACCTTTTCTAAGAAACAAAACGCAATGAAAATTATTGTCAAAAATCTACTAACCTCCATACAAATGGGAACATAGTCCTTGTGCACTTTAAGAATGATAGCCTTGTTGCTAGTCTCAACACAATGTGTTACCCAATTCAATGTCAGTGAACGCACAAGTGGAACTTTATTTTTAACAGCTGCTTTAACATCTGTTGTAGAAACATAGACATAAAACAATGAGAAGTGAAAAAGTATGATAGATAAAACATATTCTCCATAAAAGGTTTCAACTTTAAGAAAGTATAAAGCCTACCTTCAACAATATCAGCAAGAGTCAGGCACCCAGCCTTGTGCATTGCTTGGAGGGTATTAGAAAGCGCCTCAGTCATAGTAGGCTTTTTCTCTTTCAATTTTTCCTATAAAAGACAACTTATTAACTAAAACTAAAATCAAAGTTAATGATAGCAAAAGGCAACAGATTCATATGTAACACAACATATACCTTTTTTTCGGTAGAAAAATAATAATCATGTTTTCTGTTATGGGTAAATAAATGCAATTGTAGATAAAAAAAAAATGTGCATGGCCTATACTGGTAAAAAAAATGTATATTATGTTGCTATTTCCTGCAATTTGTCGAGTTTAACATCATGATAGAATGTAAACTTACAAGTAAAACAGGCAACACAAAGCGCGAACTTGCAGAAAAATTTGTTCTTAAGCCTGATGCAAGATTCCCAAGCGCCTGAACTGCTTCTACTGCTACAGCAATATTTACATCCGTAATAAGCTGCAAAAAGAAGCGCAATTACACCATGCAAATAATTAAAACCACTTTCCATATATAACTTATTCGATTATGATTATTTTAACTTTTAAATTACCTTCTTAAGTGTACGGCATATTTCTGTAAAATCTCCAGGAGCAATCCTCCTTGTTGAAGCAAGCTTGGTCAATTCAGCAACAGCATCTTTTCGCTCAGACCACTTAGTAGCTTTCTGGAAATAAATAAATAAAATAAATGAATATATATATATATATATATATAAATCAAGTATATTTTTATAAAACAGAGAGAAGGAGCACTGACCACTCCATTCCAAAATCCTGACTTCTCCAAAGGTGTTAAGATATCAACAGGATCAACAAGTTCATACTCATCTATTTCCTGAGGAACTGGCACACAATTTCACATCAGTAAAAACTTAATGAAACTATTAACCAACCATGATTACAAAATCATTACATAATAGCAACATACTTACATTTTTTTACCAAAATGAGCAGTGTACTTTATATTTTACAAATTGCTACAATCAGTAATGAAACGTAAGTATGTTGCGATTATGAGTAAAGATTACACTGATGTTATGTGTCAAAAATGTAATTGCATTGCTAATATGGGTTGCATATTGCTGTTATCATTAAAAAAAATGTAATTGTGTTGCTATTATGGGTACAGAAATGTAACCGCATAGCTATTATGGTTAAAAACAATACATGTAGTCTATATTGATAAAAAGAGTAGAAAGCATTGCTATTTCATTCCATTTGCTTAAAAAAAAAAAAACCATGCAAATTAAGTTTATTTTTTATCACATACCCTCAGCAGCAGATTCTTCAGAAGGGCCAGAGCCTGCAGCCTCAGCTGCAACTTCCTGTTCTGGTTCCTTGTCTTGCTCAGATCTTGCAAGAAGTTAAAAATATATATTCGTAAATATTGTTGTCATTATTAAAAGTAATTTTAATTACTAAATTCACTTTTTGTAGAGAGGGATAACAAACCTTATTTTACGAGTAGGCTTTGCAGTGCCCGTGACATTGGCAAGTTCAGCCTCCAACTCTTTTTTCTAAGAAAAGAAGAAAAAAAAATTGAGTTTTTGAAAATTTGAACATGAAGTGGAAGCAATAACAATAATAACTGATCATCATACCATTGTATCTCGCATTTTCTCAAACAAGATGGATTTAACAGGGTCTCTACCGATCCAACGACAAAGCTCAAGTGTTAACCCTTTAGATGAAGCACGAACATTTTGATCTTGATGGTCGAAAAGTTCCGGAAGCATCTTCAATATTCTCTTTGGTGGCACAACTTTTGAACCAAATTCACTGGTATTGGGAAACAAGATTTTCAGTATAGTGAAACAGTGAATGACAAGAGGACCTAAACAGATAGTATAACTCAATTGCAAACCTCAAGGCTTGAAACATGACATCTATGGCAGGAACAACAGCTTTAGCAACTTTGTTTTTTATTGCTTTCTCCATTGCATCCTATCAACAAGCTTTTCAATAAGGAAAATAACAACATTTACAAATTAAAAACATGCAATGCTTTCACATCAACATACCAGGAATGCATCCATGGCCTCCAACTCCACCCAAAGCATGAACACCATCTGTGCCTTCTCCACTGTCTTTGGACGCCCAGTAAGGCATTTTGCCACAATTGCATCACAAACTTCCTTGGCAAACCTACACAACAGTAGGAAATACTTCAGACAAACTAACAAAATGAGTCTTTGTATAGGAGCATCATATTCATTGTGCATGAACTGTTGTTGATGTAGGAATACAACTTATAATGAAAAAAGTATAGACGAAATGGGTAAAACCTTCCAGCATCAGCATCTGCTGCTTTTAAGTAAGCAATTAGGGCATCAAGCGCCTTATCTTGTACAGGCGCATTCGAATCAGCAACCGTCTTCTTAAAAAAATGCCCTGATCAAACCCCCACCAAAAAATCAACAAAAAAAGCAATATTCGACATACATTACACGGATCGAGGTTAAAAGCGTGAGAACTTAGATCTACCATTACCAGAAAGTGAAGAAACAAAAACAATTTACGAAAATAATTTGAAAATTAAAAACCCTAATAAGAAATGAAACTGACTAACCCAATTCACGGATGCGAGGATCTTTAGGATCGGTGATAGAGTCGCAGAGGGCGGCAAGGTCAATGTTGGCATCGTTACGAACCTTCCAGTTCTTGTGTGCCAATCGATCCTCCCATGGCAACTTCTTGGCATCCTTCAACAACTTCTCTTCTTCCGACATTATTACAGATTAATATAGATGTATAAATATGTATATATGTGCGTGGGTGTTGGTGTGGGTGTGGGTGTGTATCTAGATACAAAAGACGATCAAATCGAAGTCTGTAACTGATAGTGTGTGGGGAGAAGAACAGGAACGTTTTCGGGATTGTTTTTCTCCCCAATTTGAAAAGGAAGAAAGAGAGAAAGAGGGAGATTTGGTGGAATGTTGGGGAAGGGATGAAATTTGAGTTTTAACTTTTACGAATTGGTGTGTGTAGGGCCACCACTCACCATTCACCGGTCACGTAAGCCGTATGTACACTGCCGGCCCGGGCTCTAGATACAATGACTTCACAACTTCCCAATAGGACTAAACACATGCCAAACTAGGTTATAATCCTCAATACTACAGATCAGAAAATTAAAAATATTTTTATTTAAAGTAATCATTAATAATTAAGCAATGGTAATAACTAGGTAATAACTAAGTACGAGACCCGTATATTAATCGGGTTGATTGAAAATAAAAAGTCTAATATCAATATGTAAACATTAAACATCTTCTCATCTAATAAACAAAACCAATAATCTGCATGTCCCTTCAAAACCACTAAATTATATCAAAGTTAAATACCAATATTACCCCTACTTTGTTTCACCTACAAATTGATAGAAATCACGCCCTGATTTCTTTCACTTTCTACTCGATAAATCAATAATTCATTATATTCAAACAATAAAGTTGTACGTATTGAATCACTTCATTACATACCCGATTAATAGCATGTTATTATGGTATCCGATTTCGTATATAAGATAAGTTTGATTTCGTATATAAGATAATATACAATTGCAATTAATTTTATTTATTACAAATGTAGTTGTATTTCATTTGTTTGCTTAAATTGATTCGTTTCACTATTATTTTGACACAATAAATGATGTTTTTATGCAATATAGTACAAAAGAAAGCTCATTTTGTGGTGTTTTCCATCTCGCGAATTGTAACTCAAATTCATGAAAGTTCTTTCGAATTTCTTTGTTTTTATTTCCTTAATCGATTAACCCCATTAGGTAGTAGTTAAAAACGCTCATTTTGGCGAGAGTGGAAATATTTTGCTTTCGCCCACCACGTTTTCGATGAAAATACCTCAGTTGTGTTGATACCAATCGTAAGCAACTCATGATCATGGTGATCATTCTTGAGCGCATCACAAATAGGTTTTGCTTCCTTCATAACGATTTGACCACCCCTTTCTACTTCAACCATCTTTTTATTTCTTTGTTTTTCCTCATTCTCACTTGTAAGTACCTAAAACTCTCTTTGCACATTTCATTTAGGTTTTTTAAGTTTTACTTACTTTAATCATTTGTTTTGTTGAGAAGTTGGAATCACCCCTTCAAGCCATATTGACTCCAATAGAAACCCATCTGATTGGTGTAGTAATGAGTAAGTATCCAACGTTTCTTCATTAAATTACTATTTCCCTGATAATAAACAACTAATCAGTAAGCTTAAACAATCTTATGTTTCAAATTAGTGGTTTTATGTGTTATCTGTATAATATGGTATTTATGAATATCATCTATCTTGCAATATAATTATCTTATTTATATTTTATATATTTACTGATTAGTTATGTTTATTCAACCTGGATGATCTTCAAAAGTTAAGGATCGAAGATGGGTTATCAAGTTAAGAGCCACCACGACGTAAGTATTTATTGTAACCAAATTTCTCTTACATCTTGTGGATATGTGGTTTTTTACTTTCTCTGAGTTCTTGTATTATAATAAACAAAGATTTCTTTTATAATGACAATTTACCACCTTAACTTAAAGGGCGTCATCAAGAACCAATGAATGTGGCTTAAATGAATGTAAAACATGTATTTTTTTCTAACATGAGTTTGTTACACTTAGGCATGTGGAAAATGAATGTAGGTCAAAAATTAAGCCAAGCTTATGGTGTATACGGTCATACTTACATGACAAGGTTTACCGAAATGTATGTTTGGTTGGACACCTATGTCACTTGGGTCATATGCAAGAAAGATTATGTCATTATCCTTTACATTTTTCTCTCTTTGATCCATATCAATGATTTATCTTTAAAAATGGTTCTTATGCTTTTTGATAGGGTAGAGCAAACAAGTTCACTTGCATTTTCTTTAAATATTCTATAGTATGGTTATGATTAGCCTTTCTTCATTTATCTTCTAGATTACCTTAAATGTATATTATGGCCCAAATAATATTTTATATTACTTAGTTGTTTATGTAAGAAGTGGCTAGCATTGTAAAAAGCTTTAGAAAAAGTTATACTATATGAAAGTAGGATACAAAATAAACAAACCAGTTTTGGATCTATTTTATCTATTTTGTTGTTATTTCATTTCCTCTGTTTTATGTTATTTAGGATGAGATAATTGATGGGTTTTGGTCATAAGACATCCTATGTGCTCATACAAACCCTAATGCTTGGATCTAGGTTTCTCTATTGTACATGCTTTGAATCCAAGACTATAAACCCTAATTCTAACATACAAGTAATCATATTAATATGTAATTAGGTTTAAGATCATACCTTGATTGTTATGTAGCAATAACAATCCCAATTCCTCTTTGTAATGACTTTGGAATGCTTAGAGTCACAAATGTCACTCCTCTAATGGTTCACAAACACCACAAGCAAGAGGATGAAGAGGAGAGAGGTTGGAGGCTGCCAAAACGTGTGTAAACCCTTACAAGAAGCTTAGCCACGTTTTTGAGCCTTAAGGGGTCTTTATATAGTTGGGCTATTAGGGTTATCTAACAAGGAAACCCTAATTTGGATGCTTAAGCCCTAAGCAACCCATAGACTCCTTTTATCAAGCCCATGGACGATTTCCTTATGGGTTTCCCATTAGAATTCGTCCATCCCTTAATATAAGGCAATCCATGGCCCAAATTGCAATTATCTTATAATTACAATTCCAGTCCCTTAAGTTTAATTAATCTCTTTTAGTCACAAAACTAATTACCAATTAATTATTGACTAATATTAATTAAACAATATGATTTCTCCTTTAATATATTATTCCATAATATATTAATAAATCATATTTAATCCTTACTCTCCATAATTCATCCTATCAAGTTGCTTTGGTGAAGGCAACCCAAAAGGACCATGCACCATCGGGTCAAGTACATACCAAAATAGTTATGGACTTAGACACTAATCCAACAGTCTCCCACTTGGATAAGTCTAACAACTATTCTGCGTATGACTTCAGATCCTGATCTGCAATCGTAGCTTTCCAAAGCCGCTGTCAACTCTGATCATATCAGATACGCGTGTCCTTAGATAAGGGATCATATATTCCTCCATTCTAGATATCGTATGAGATATGATTTCAAATCATTCTCTTTGTACTATATCTCGATTTCTGATTTATGACGACAGACTAATTGAACAAATCAAATTAGCCCTAGCCCGGCCGAGCATTTACGTATGTCATCACTAAACCATCGAGGGGCCCAAAGATATCGCTTTTATCCTTCTTGGATAAAAGGAACGGATAAACTTTGATACAATGCTTGCTTGCACTCACTCACCGAATACACACAACAATATGTTTTATAACACCAAGTTACTGTGCGTTTACATATTATCAATGTGCAACCGATTCGCAAGATACAACTCACACATCTCGGTTTCAAGAATATAAGATGTTATCGTCTCACTAATCACTCGTAATACAATTCATGGAGTGATCCAAGTGAGCGTGGGTTTAATCCAATGCTCAAATCATATTCATAAGCACTCATGAACGTTGCAGCAAACATTTGCTTATGTCTAATACTTTTCTAGACAATCCACACACCAATTCACGACAGTCTTCATTCATATCTACTTCCAACATATGAACGACTGTGGCCCGTTTGAATAATTCGATTATTCTTAATAAACTCAATTATTCTGGAAGTCAAAACATGCAAGGTGAAACACAAGAATAATACTAATCCCATATGGCCTCAAACCTTTGAGTATAAACAAAACACGTTTTATTTATCACCATATCGATTACTCATTATTTGTCGTTTCGGGTAATCAACTTCTTACTTGAATTAACACTTGTCCCATGCTCCTAGCATGCACACAATGTTTACCTATGGTTCTTACTTTTGTGAAATAGACAAATTGAACACATTTCCAATCATTCTCATTTTACAACTCCAAATCCATTTTCTTAAGTGTAAGAATATCAAATTCTTGTTACTTATAGAATATACTAGATTCTAACACTTTATGCAACGATCCTTTTGTAATGTCACTGCACCAAAGTCTCAAAGACTATTGCCAATGATATTACAAAGTCCTCTATCGGAGATTGTTACAAGACAATTCCTTAGATATGATGTCTCTCACTCAAAGTACATTCCTTTGAACATCCTTTTGCATAAAAGTTTCTAATCTAGACATAGATTTTCAATATTTACTTCCCAATATGGACACGCTTCCATATTTTCCATATGACAACTAATTTCTTAATAGAATCTTATCTATTCGTAATGATGTCGATATTGTCCATCCAATATGGAAACATTTCCATAATTTCCAATACTATACTTCCAACTACTCACAAGCGACCAATCCTCGTCGAACTTTGGATTGTCCTTTGATAGTTGTTTAATTATTTTAGTCAAAACCAATTCTAGTCCCTTTTCCCTCTAAATGCACTAGACATTTGGAAAATTTTAGAATGGTCAAACATTAAATCATTTGCAATCGATCCTATACTCGAAGCGTATGGGACACGACGCACAATGTTTTATTTTCTATGTTCTCAAAATTCGAATTGTGAAGAGGAATGCCGTAATCATAATCGAAATTTTAAGAACACACTATGTACCTTTGACTAAATTTATTAACATTCCACAACCTAATCCTTTAGATTTGAAATGAAGCATAATATTCTCTCCCTTAATTATAGCAAAACAACCTTTCAACTCTTACAACTTTGCAAAGTATGACTCTTGTTTTCTATAATTAATATTGCCAACTATGCAATACGTGCCTTAATAATCATACAATCATAACATTTATGCTCCCACTATCATGATGATTATTATAAAACATAACACTTATGCTCCCACTAGCTTCGACATGTATTCATAAACATCTTAACTTTCAGAAAAACAATACTTATTGAATTTCTTAAGTTCATGTTTCTAATACTTAGTGCTTTGATAATCTTTTATCAAGGCTTCTTGAACTTATACACTTTTGCCTTAGATAGTT